TTCAGCGGGAGTCATGACTGACCATCCCAAGCAAAGGGCAGCCTGTCCCCTGGACTGGGAGCTGGGCGGAGTGGGGACCAGCCCACATCCTCTATGTCCTAGCCCGTTGTCCTCACCCTTGGGTTAAACATGTTTAAAGTTTCTTGACCTCAGGTCTGCATGAGAAAAAAAATGAAGTCCTTCATGTTCCTTCCACGTACATGGTGGTTCTTGAACAATAGGGCCAGGAAGGGAACGTCCCAGGGGAGCAGAGCTGCACAATGCTGCCTGGCCTCGCTGCGCTTGCGGAGAGGTGACTCCATGCAGCTCCCTCTCTGTAAGCAGAGCTTGGTGGCTTTTTTCTTACTCTAAAGAGAGGGAATTAAGAGGGTCTTTATTTATTTATTGGTGTTTCTTATGTTTTTATGTCTGAGATCCTGGCCAATATTAATTTTAGTCGTCAAATACAACTGTGAAACAAGGAGTAATCATTATCGCCTCACTTCTGATGCTTCTGGGAAACAAGAAGTCAGACAGATTAATGGCTTCACTCGTGTGAGTTTAGAAGTCTGGCACATAAGTGGAAACAGGAATTGCATCTTCTCACCATCCGTTATCACACAACATTGAGGATAAAATGCCTCCCTTTTAAGAAGTTAAAACACACTAGTTGTGGTCTACTGGCTGGGTAATTTGCACATTTATCCTTGCTACTATCTTCAGCAGAAGATTTCAGTGGCTAGAGTAATGAATTTAAATCTTCACCAAATGAAAAATAATCGTAAGAGAAAACTAATTGAATTGTTCAAAGCTACCATCTTGCATTTTACAGTCTTTTCTGGGTCACTTAGTTTGTTCCTACCTGCACCATGTAAGCATGCAATATTATAAAAGCAGTTGGAGAGCATAGATGATGGTCTTTTGTGCTTGCTGGAAACTCTAAGGTGACGCAACTGAAATGCCCCCAGAAGAATAGAGCAGATCTGCTTTTATTTGTTTTCCTGTAGATAGGACTGTTCCTTTCTAAGGAAATTATTAAAAGCAATTCATAAAGATATGACAGATTCTTAGCCGGAGTAACATTATTTTTAGACTGTGAAAATTTTCAGTAGTATTAGATCTCTACTCCTAGAGAAATATTATCTCTTCAGAGAGAAGAGCTTTTCTTCCTATTGTATTATCATCTACATATATATGGTGTGTATGTGTGCATTTAATAATATACTATGTTTATTAGTGTTGAGATTGAAATTGATTAAAATATTATATTAAATAAAAGACACACTAAACTGTATTTTTCTACCCCTCAAATAATCTTCTTTTCATAGTTGGCATCCTACAAGAAACCACCGGAAGTTACAAGAGGACATTTCAAACCCTACAGCCCAGTATTTCAAAGAAAAGAAAAAGCCAGAGAGATGCCTGAAGATATCTGTCTCTATGTGCCCCATTGTCCTTTTCAGAGCAACACCAGAGGTTTTCCACAGACCCTTCCTGGGAATGGGATACTGGCTGCTGATTTTTCTGAGCCTGAAGGTGACATTGGGGCATACACAGGCCAGGGCTGGAAGGAAAAAAACCAGAAATACACCTCTGAACCAGAAAATTTTAACAAGAAGACAAAAGTACTGTCATCTTTGGATTTGAAAGAAAAAGATGACAAAAATACAGGGCACCCTGAAGGAAAGCTTGAGAAAGAACTAAAGGAGACAAAAAAGAGGCTGGTGCTTTGTACTCAACAGCGACCCTTGTCGTATGATTCAAATGGGGCAGATTTAGGTGGAACCAGTCTGGAGTATCGAAACAAAGGAGCAATGGGGACTTCAGAGAAGAAGCATGCTGACTGGAGAAAAGATGCATTCGAACTACGTGGTTGTCCTGTGCCTCTCTTATCTGCAGATGATGCTCCAACAGCTTTGCCATTTGACACAAAAGATGCTCTGAGGAATCCAGATGCAGTTGCCAAGGAGCATGCAGCTGGCCGGCCAAAATCACCACTGAGGCTCATAGCCAGTGCGATCAAAAGGTCCATTTTGGAGCCTCTAACTTCACCTCCAGAAGGACTAAAGCAGGACTCAGACAGCAAGGTCAAAGCCTCTTCGGAACATGCTTTCTTCACCTTCCCCAGTACTCCTGGCTGTTCCTTAAGCCAAAGCAACAGTAACAATAATAGCACAAACAACACTCAGCCACAGGAGCTTAAAGTAAGGGAGTGGGCAGGAGAGTATTTAAGAAATGGGAGCCCTCGCTCCAATTCATCTCATGTTTCTTTCGGCTCTGAAAAGAGATCTGTAAGGGATTACAGCGAGGAGGTATCTTTCCCAGTTTACAGTTCTCACATCAGGCCTTCCAAGATGCCTCAGATACCATCTTGCACTAGGATGGAGGATGTCCCAGGACTCCTAGAAAAGTTTACCTTTAAAGAGACTCCCCCAGGAGCTCCTGTGGATAACGTATTTATCTGTAATGAGAAGTACCTCCTCCTTTCACCTCCAGAGCCCAAGAACACCCCCAAGGACAATTTGGGTGACTCTGCACAGAAGGGTAGTCTCGGGTCACTCTTTGATAGACTGCGAAGTAAAGTTCATGACAGCGAAGGGAATTCCTTTGTGTCATCTCTGCCTGCCATGAAAGACCGTTCTCCAGAAGACAGGCTACGTTATCCTTCCACAGGTGAGGGCATGAGTGGAATTACGTATTTCTGGTAATAGCGCTTAACATTTAAAAGACCTGTGTGTCTCCATGCAAACACGTATCTGTTGTATGCTATATTTATAGTTGCTTTCTACATAGGAAGAGTTAAGAAATACATTTTTTGGTTAAGGTTTAGGAGATGCTTCTGATTTAAAGGAGCAGGGTGGATTCGCAAGCCGAGCGCAGCTCGCTGGACCCAAGTTTGGTCTGCTGCTCGCTGCTGTTCAGACGTGTTTGGGACAGGAGAATGTACTCGCTGAGGCGGAAGCAGTGGTGAGGCAGGGTGGGATGCTGTGAAGAGCGGCTGCTGCTGTGACATTTGGTGTGTTGTGCAAGGGGGAGCATGGTGGGCAAGCAAAAGGATGAGCGCTGAAAACTCCAGTGGAGTGCAGAGTGCTCCTTTCCATGAGGAACTCAGAGGCTGAAGCAATACTGTTGCAATAGCAAGAAGCTTTGCTTGGTCTATCTGCTTTCTCAGCAAGTGTCTCTTCAGCTCTGTCTGCTGTCGTAGTGACCAAACTGCAGACATACTTTTGGGAGCTTTCCGCTGTCATTAATATCCCCTTGTTCTTTTATTTAACCTTGTTGACCTATTCTGACCTATTCGTGAGTCTATTTGGGCAGCAATTAAAAGACATCAATTTTCATGTTTCCTTGCAAGAACAAGGTTAGACTAAAATTGCTGACAGGTCCACGAAATATTGATGTCCAAGAGCAATCTGAGCATAGGCTCAGAAAGAATTAAGTGCAGCACACTTTCAGGTATAAAATATGAGGTATGAGAGCTGCCCCCACCTGTTTTTCTCTATGATCCATGTTTCCACTAGCTCACTGCAGAAAGTCGCAGTTATTTAACTAAATACCCTATTGAATTTTACTGACATACCTGTTTCTTACTTTATTAAATTGTAACCAAAACTGTAACTCCCAAATTGCTGCTGTACTGCAGCATTAAAATAACAATCTATATGTAAAATGTTGTCATGGTTTAGGCCCAGCTGGCAACTGAGCACCACACAGCCACTCACTCTTCCCTGCTGTGGGACAGGGAGGACAAGGTACAAGGAGAGGTTTGTGGGACAAGACAAGGACAGGGAGGGATCACTCACCAGTGTTGGTCATGGGCAAAACAGACACGAAGTGGGGAAGAAAGATCAATGTAATTAGTTACCAATCAAATCAGAGTAGGGTAATGAGACATAAACCCAGATCTTAAAAACACCTTCCTCCCACCCCTCTTTTGTTCCCAGGCTCAGCTTTGCTTCCCCATTTTTCTACCTCCTCCCCCTGACGAGCACCGTATGACAGGGAATGGGGGTTGTGGTCACTTCATCACAAGTTGTCTGTGCTGCTCCTTCCTCCTCAGGGGACGATCCTCACACTCTGCCCCTGCTCCAGCCTGGGGTCCCTCCCATGGGAGACAGTCCTCCACCAACTTCTCCAACATGAGTCCTTTCCAGGGGCTGCAGTTCTTCACAAACTGCTCCAGCGTGGGTCCCCCTCCTGGGGTGCCATCCTTCAGGAACAGCCTGCCCCAGCACGGGCTTCCCATGGGGTCACAGCCTCCTTCAGGCACATACCCCTGCTCTGGCATGGGGTCCCCCCCTCCCCCCCGCCTCGCCAGGGCTGCGGGGCACAGCCTCCCCTGCCCTGCCCTACCACAGGCTGCAGGGAAACCTCTGCTCCAGACACCTCCTCCCCACTTTCTGCACTGACCTGGATGTCTGCTCAGTTGCCTTTCTCACACCCTACTCCTCCCTCTTTCTGCTCCTCTGTCTCCTGTTTGCACTGTTGATTCTCTTTTTGTTTTTCCTTCTTAAGTATCTTAATCACAAAGGCACTAATTGGCCTGGCTGTGGCCAGAGGCATGTCTGACTTGGAGCCGAGGAAGCTTCTAGCAGCTTCTCACAGGAGCCACGCCTGTGGCCCCTCATGCCCTACCAAAACACCACCACACAAACACAAGTGTGAAGTCACTGTAGTGCTCCCTGTGAGCTTTCAGATCCTTTTAGCATACTTTCTGCTTCAGAAGTACTGCATACCGTGAGGAAGACATACAGCGTATAACAGCCTTGATCTGAAGCTCATTAAAATCCATAGGGAAACTCCTGCTCTCATTCCTGAACATGTGGATTGGATTCTTGTAGTATCCTTTACCTAACAACTCACAAACCCAGATATGCCCATGGAGCCAGAGGATGCCAAGGACTGCGCTGAAGCCACAGAGTTGCTAGTGTCCCCACCTGCCACGCTGTGGTTATCACCCATTCACTAAGCCAAGCTGACTTGCTCTTCACTAGATGCATTACAATAATTAATGTGTTGTGTTCCATCTAAAATAGGAAGAGTTCTTGTTACATTTGAATAATGCTATACTGTATTTAAAATACTTCTAAAATCATGCTGGTTTAATGTATGTTGCGTTCCTGTGCTGTGCAACCCAGAAAAGGAACCATTAAATTATTAAAATTAGTGAATATAGGCATTGCAAAGTCTGTTCAGAAGAAAAAAGATTGCAGCTTTGATCTAGCAATTTGCTCAGTACTCTGTAGTCTTCAGCGTTTCAACACTGCAGCGCTCTGAACTTTTTCAAACATTCATGTTTGACAAAATCAAACTGGTAAAGAGCCAAATCCTGCTTGGCTTGCTAAAATGGCATTTATGTCTGATATTGGCATTTGCCTGAGGCCCAGGCTTGGGAAGCTTCAGTCATGAACTGATGACGAGCTTTAGCCCACATTACTTGTAATTATTTTTCTCTCTTGAAATTTACCATGAATCTCAGAAAGTTTCTTTTCTTTAAAGGAAAAAAAAACCCCAAAACAACCAACCTCCCAGCACCTTGCAGAAACCAGTTGATTGAGGCTCCTTCTCACATTCCCCTTGGCTTTTTTAAGTGAGGCTTTTCTATCCTATTTGAGTCCAGACAGACTTGTTCTGTGCAGGTGTGGTTGGTCTTGCATTATGCTGGTGTTTTCTCCCTCCATGGGCTGTTGGCTTGTCGAGCCAAAGTATGAGTTGAGTGATAAAAGTCCGTGGGCTTGAGATGAGACTGGGCAAACTCACTGAAGAGAAATCCACCAAGGATTAACCAAATGCTTGGAAACCACGTCCGATTTAGAAAGCTCCTGAACTGAAAAATGCTTGAAGGTTGGAGAGGGATGACTGCCTATAGCATTCCTGTAGACATCCACTGCTGGAGGCAGGCTGGAAGGGCCTTCAGTCTCAC